TTGAGAATTCAATACATCTGAATATATTGGTGTTGTTGAATCTAATGGAAGTGTATTATTTTTTGAACATGATATTTATGTTAAAGATGATGTTGAAACATTAGAAAGAGTTTATGATGGATCATAATCAATAGCTGAACGATGATATAAATTATATTCACGACATATTGATACTAAGTGATGAAAATCTATAGAGAATATCATTTAAAAAATATTTAATTAAAATAAAAATAAAACAAACTTATTGAACTACTAATTAAATCTGAAGAAGTACTTAGTTGATGAAAATGTAATGGTACAATTAAGTAGTACATGTAAAAGTCAATGTCTAAAATGTTCACAACGTTTTTGTATTTTTGGTGTTTATTAATAAAGACATTCTTGATTATTAGTTGACATGATTAATAATTTTAATTCATGTTCCCATTGTTCTAATCTCATATGTTGATGATCATGTTGTATGATTAATTGAAGTATTGCTTGTTCACGATCATGAATTTCCTTAAAATGAAAAAAATCAAAATTAAAAAAGAAGAGAGATCAATCAAAAAAGTTATCTGGATAGTGAAAAGCAAATTCTAAGCTTTCAAAAATTTTATTATAAGACAATCATGTCACGTGACTAAACAATAAAATATGTGCTTTGATTCTATTCATTTTTCGACTGATCTATCAGAGGAATTAGACCGAAAAAACAAATTACATGAGCCAACTCATTTTCTTAATGCTGATTTTAAATATTCACTCAAAAAAAGCTAAAAATTAGATTTCAAAAATAGTAGACTAAGGACTTTTTTTAAGCGACCTATTTCCTATTTGACCATAGAAAATAGTTCATTTTATAATATCATCTTGTATAGTTATTTTTATTCTTTTTACTTGTTCATTAGTTTTTAATTCTTCAAAAATATCTTGAATTTCTTTACTCCAATCTTGTTGTAATGATGAATATATATATATTCAAGTTCATTTTGAACAACATTCAATGCATTTACTTGATTGACTTAAATCAATCCATTTACTAAACGGCATGACATTTTATTTGATAATAATGTTAATAAATTTTATTTAAGGCGACCAATCTTTCGAATAGAAATCTGAAACAAAGTCCTCAAAGCACTATATACAGTCAACAATTGTTTAATAAAAACAAAGAGGAAGTTATTTTTTTAATCAAAATAACTTCTCATACAAAATATACAAATATAAATTTCTATCACGAAAAATATGTGTTCATTCATCTGTCAAAGTTACATATATTTTCTGAATTAATCTGTATTATTATACCTAGAAGATAAATATGAATCAAAAACAAAATAAAATCAAAATTATTATTATTGTTTTTCTTCGAAGATGTCAATATAGACATCACTAAACTATAAAGTTGTTTCGATCGAAGCGTCTAATTTAATAACGAAAAGTATTACATAAACATGGAGAACAATTATTATTAATCGAATAATAAATTCACATTGATAGTGACATTGAATAGCATATCATTCCATCTAGATCATCAATAATAATCATTTATTTTTTATTCGATTCAAACATTTATTTTCTTTATCATCAACTTAATAGAACTGCAGATCCTTTAAATTGTTGTTATGTTCACTTTTTTCAACATCGACTATTAATGATCCAGGTGATTTATCAAAATTTGTTTGTTATATCATAAAGTCATTCTTGTAGTAAAATAGGAGAAGAAAGTACTCTCTCATCTTAGAATAAAAATCCTCCTATATTAGAAGACCTGTTCGCAGTGTATGATATGTCGGACGTAATTGAAGACCTTCCTGATTTTTCCTGGGTTATCTTGGTGAAACTGTTGATAATCATAAAAAAAACCTGGATCATCTGGGAAAATCCTGGAAAATTTTTTGACTGGAGTCCATTGAAAAATGCGTATCATAATAGAAGATCTGGGGTCTTTTGTTATGGAGGGGGATTCAATGAAATTAATACTATTGACATAATATTTTAATACATTAATTAATCAAGTTAATTAATAAATATCAATAGAATGAGATCGATATATAAAACAAAAAATAAATAAAGAAATTATGTTGACTAAAATAAAATTGAAAATCTAAAGAGAGAAAGAGAAATTTCAAGAGTAAATTTAACAAGACCGAAAGAAAATTTCTTTTGAGCTCCATCTACTACTATAATAAGTGACCAAGAGGAATACAAACAACTCTTAAATAATAGCCTAACAAATAACTAAAGTATTTTTCTACTATACAATGTACCATCAAAGTGTCATGTTTTTTCCAGTAAAGCGCAAAACACAATACTTTTTAAAATCATAAGTAATTACCTTGAATAGTTTGCTTTTTATTTGAAATTAAATCAAAATTTAGAATTTAGGCTAGGGTGTGGGTGTTCATTTCTGTTGATTCACACTCCACACTCATACCCTAGTTTTCTTTCAATTTCAAAAATTTTGTATCTATATGAAATATTTTATTTCATCTTTGAAGTGCCATTTTAAACAGGTCGAGGGCTCGACTGTAACGTAAAACAATCGGTAATCTTCATTCATGAAAATTCGGTTGTTCTATTTGTCAAAAATTGGCAATTGAAATCACCTGTCAAAAGAAGTTCACACTGTGATAATTCTGTTCGTAACTTGGATGTCTGTTGAAATCTAAATTAAACTCTGAGTTACAGTGACTTAGAATAGACTTATAGATATTATGTTTGATTTTTTTATCGAAGATATTTAAATAAAAAATATTTTATGTCGAAAGAGTTTGTGAGAAAAAACATGCAGAACTTTTTAAAAAAAAACCTAGACCGGTCGGTAAAGAAAAAGTGGTCTCTATCGGACTGGACCACTGTTTACTGTTACCGGTTAAAATTCTGTGTGAGATATCATATTAAATGTTGTCTGAAACGATTGCTGAGCGTAAGTCGTCGATGAAATTATACTCAGGATCAAGTAAGGCGTTAGAAATATGTGTAAAGACAAATCAATGCTTGTTATCATTTTCTGAGATGAAATTTTCAAACAAATGGTAGCAGTGTCAATCTATACTATCTTACTCTTTTTAGTAAGTATTGGTTTTCAAAACGATTTGACAGAGTACTCATGTGGCTGCTGCTTAAAAAGATAATCACGAAGATTTAGTAATCAGCTCAAAGATTCGAAAGAATTGTGGTTGGGTGTTAATAATAATAAATTTTTTGTTCTTCTTATTCATTGAAATTATTAAGCAAACATTTGGCGATGCCAATGAACATCGATATGTAAAACTATCTTAAAGATTTCTCTTCCATAAACGTATTGCAATATTTTCGATTGCTATATGAAACGGCTCAAAAAAACTAACAGGATATTATTCCTATAAAATAAAATCTTGTGTACTCAGAATGGAAATTACGGCTATCCTTATTTTTCGTCGTAAGTTTATCTTAAATGGCCGTTTACAGTGGAATAGGGGCCGTATTTTTGTACTGGAGTAAGAACTAGTAACTCATTTCATTATTTTCAATATATCGATGAATAGATTTTATCAAAACGCTTTTTTGTTAAAATCATATTTCTGTCGTGTAGGATTAACCGAAGCATCCAGAAATTAAGGTAATGAAGGCTTTAATAAAACAATATTTGTCACTTCATTTTTTAATCTTTCGAGAACGGAACGAAGAGCATGCATTCTATTGCGATCGACTAGTAGTCAAAGGTCGTTATATATACAGTTAAATATTTATTTATTATTTTCATTGATGTTATATAGATGATTATTTTCTTTTCTAATATTTGCTATCGATGATCATGATGTATCATTAGTTCATGCAGCATATGAATGATGATTTCGACTATGATTTGTTGCTTTTGCTTCAAGTTCAACATGTTGTGGATGATTACGTGATTTAAACATATCATGTTTCCATTTAAATCGACTAATGTAAAAGAAAAAAATCATAAATAAATAAAAGAAAACTCGCGATATATTCTTACCGAGATTGAAATCAAATCTAAACAAAGAAAACGAGTAGATTAACATAAAAAACAAGATTTTATTACTTTAATTTGTCGTTCAGTTAATAGAAGACTACGAGCCATTTCACTTCGTCGTAAACATGTTAAATATCTATTCATATTTATAAATAAATATAAAAATATTCTTTTCTTACTTGTTACATTGAAATTCTTTTTCTAATTCAAGTAGTTGATGACATGTATAAGTTGTTCGACGACGTTTATGTTCAAAATTAAATTCTATAAAGAAAAAGAAAGAACGACTTCATAGTAATCATAAATAAACGAAATAATGGTACAAATATTAATCATTTCTATATATTACATTTATTTATTTTTAATACATCATTTTTCTCAATAAACTTATCAATACCTGGTCTCATCCACAGATATTTATAATCAAGCATTGAATTTGTAACTGACTTAGAAAATGTTAATGATAATATCATATTATTAACTGATTATGAAGCATCATTTGATATTGAAAAAAGATCATCATTAGTTGATTGATATTGTTCATGATGAGATATAGCTGTTTGCATCAATATTCAAATTTGAAGATGTATTCATATGTGTTGAATCTTTATTTGTTGGTGATAAGTTGGAATCAATATTCATTATCGTTGTAATAGAAAGATAATTAAATAATAATATTGTCTATAAAAAAATTCACACACACGTTTGGATCAATTAAAAAAAAACGTTAAATAGGTATATTAATAAAGAAGATGAACGTATTTAAATGACAATTGAAATTATTGTTGGTATGTTGAGAAGAGAATAATTGTAATGGAGCAGCCTACTAGCTCATATTTAATTCAAAGAATGATCTCATACATGCAATATGAAGAGAAAAACAATAAGTGATGTGTATACACATGAATGCATGTGCTCGACAGACGTCCTTAAATACGGATATGGCGAGTGATGAGGCACGACATCGGTCACAATAATATCTCTTGATAGTTTTGCTTTAGTCGTATTATCGCGAATATTTTCCAGCCATTCGCTATTCAAGAAAAGAAAAGTCTCTGTCCAATTTGTAGCAGTTATTGACCTTTATGCTTCACTTGTGTGACCTGTTCACTGAGGATTTACCTTCTGTCTTTGCTCTCTCCTGTGTGATCACATCCATATAAATTGCATTTAATAAAGAAAATACACAGTTGTAAGTGTGCAGATGACACAAAATACCATCGTGTCGAAAGCCAAAGGCAGCTACCGTCATAATTCATCACATAACCAATCAATATCTTTCTTTTGTTTGATAGACAATTTGTCTATTCTCTCGTTTTCTTCTCCGAAGAGCGGTTACTCATTTTATCATTATCCGACAACGATGTACATGTGATGTGCATAGATAATTATCTTTAAAAAAAAGTATTGATTCGAAACTTTTATTCTTCATATTGATGTGTTTGAAGTATCCTTTGATATTAAATAATGACGATAAAATTAGTTAATTCAATCGTTGGTCACTTGGTCTTTTGATTGGAAAAGTTCGAAATTTTTTTCTCGCATTGATATGTAGACATCAGATCTTTTACATTTAAGAATGTCACTTAAGTAAGATTAAGAAGACCTTAAAATTGTTACGTTTTGACACCTTACTTTGTTTTATTGAACTATAAATTAAAGGCGTCTGCTTAGCATTAGCATTGCATTAAATAATACTAATTGTTATATTCTTGTATTAGGGTTAAAAAAGTAATCTAATGCTTTTACTTTATGCTTTGACATTAGTATAAGTTAGGATTAGCATAATGCAAATGACTATCACAATTTTGTAAGCTTTTTGCAGATGTATCAACTTATTTGCAATATTAGGGTCAGTCTACTCGAATTCTTCTTGTAGTATACATATTAGAAACAAGATTGTATCGAAATGAAACAGCTCCGAATGGGCCGAGCCAGATCTATGAAAGTTGGACCATGCAAATTAGATCCATAGTGAATACCACTACCTAATCTTGGTATGATTATTAAACTATATAACCATCACATATTTGACAGAAATAATATAATTGTATACAATATTCAATTAAGCTGCTAAGACATAAATAAATTAATAAATCATATGGACTTCTATAGAATTATATTATTTGGTCAATAAGTCATGGTTATGATCTACTAATCAGTCAACATTAGATTATGGTAATCACTATGAATCTAAATAATACAGTATTATTATTCGTGGATTAAGACAATGCTCGAATGATGATGATGATCGAAATAATCAAAATCTTAACTAAAGATATATTTTATTATATTCATTTAAATAAAAAGAAAGAAAATAAAGAATTAAAATAAGAATATGTCGTCGTACTTTTGCTGCATTATATAAAATTCAGTATTTTATAATTAAAGTTCATATGATTTATTTTTTGTTAACTAAAACTAACTCAAATTAAGTGAAATTATCAAAATCTGTGTTTAGTTTAATGAATTGCAAAATATTGAAAACGAACAATTTGAAAATAAAATAATAGCATGCTTAAGTTCAAAGCCGTTCTCATCAAAATCA